GAGAGCTGGTTGTTTAAAAGAGCTGGGCATCTCATCCTCTCTCACCATATGACACACCTCCTCCCACTTCACCTTCCCCCACAACTAGAAGCTCCCTGAAGCCCTCACCAGAAGCAGATGCTGGCATTATCTGCAGCTGGTACAGCCTGCAGAACCATGATCCAAATAAACCTCTTTTCTCTAGAAATTACCCAGCCTCAGTATTCCTTTATAGCAACACAAAATGGAATAAGACAGGGGTAGTTTTACCTCCACCAAATACTTCTTCACTGAAGCCAGACTACTCACTGACGGACATGACCCAGACTTTTGCACACTGTGTTTGATCCTGCTCATGTTGCTCCCTGTGCTCATCTATACCTGTCTACAACCTACCCATTCTTAAAGGTCCAAATTTTTAGGGAAGCTTTCACTCATCTTATGGGATATTCATAATCTTTCTTCCCTTTGTATGTGTAATTTGTGTTGCATTTACCTTATAGAATACTCATTCAGGTTATATTCTCATCTAGGTCCTACCAGGTCATAAGTTCTTTCATTTTGACTACTGTAATTAATACCTAGTGCCTAAAACAACACATAGTAGGGGCTCATCGAATTTTAGCATATGTATTATTTATCATTGCCTTCCTCAGATCTCTTGCATAACAATGTTTCTTAAATATTGCAAGAGCAGTCAATTTTGAACTAATTAATTATTAATTAATTAAAGCCCTAAGAATGAATGAATTCTCTTGGTGAGAAAGAAGCGTAGATAGAAGGCTCACCTATAGTAGGTGGTGGAGAGGGAAAGAGAAACCAGTGAACAATATTAAAGAAAATGGCTAGGAACCCAAAAGAATGTGTTTATGGGGTAAGAGGTTAACAATCCACAGGCATATAATCAACTTCATATTATAAATTATCTTTGAAACACAACATCTTTTTCTACCAGTCACCAAGGATGAAGACTGATTTCTCAGACTGTCAATGACTCAGTCTTTGATGCAGCCTGGAGAACACGAAAGCCAAATGGAATGATGGTGTATTACCTAGTTGCATTATCTAGTTTTCTCTGTGCCTCCTTATGTATAGGTAGAAGAGACTAACTATAATGACAAAGGGAGAAATTTTGAAACCCAACTTGAGGTTGTTTTTTCTAAAATGTATTCAAGGGAATATATCAAATGGCTATATATATTAAATGGCTTAATTTTTTTACATAAAGAAAAAGAATTAATTTGTGTCTTGTTGTTGAGTCATTTTACAAGAATATCCTTTTGCCAAGTCTTCTGTGTTATGGCTTTTTGATGTGAGTACCATTTCTTTTGAACTTTTGCCATTTTTAATACAGCCAAGATGACTGGCTTTTTTAAAGTGCTATTTTTGGACAAATACAAGGAGAAATTAATCACGGTGCCCAAGTGATGGTCCAGGTGTACTATTTCATTACTTTCAGTTTAGTCTGGGAAATATGTAACCAGTTTTTCACCCAGTAAGTAAAAATGTTCCAATTTAATAGAAAGTACTTGTTATTAGAATCAGTCAATGACAGAAGCGTGATAATAGAAACCATCTCCGCTACTTCCGTGCGGGCAACACCGGCCAGTCATTGTGCTGAGCTATGGCTTGAAAAATCTAGAAGATATATCTCTCCAAGATAAGCTTCATGATACTACTGGTTCTAGACAAGACACTTCAAAATGCAAAAATCTCTAGGAGGGGCAACTCCATTTCTAATGTATGTCCATTAAAGGTACACTTTAAGAGTTCACAAGATACCTAGATTGCAAACAAAACAGCAAATTTGCAAATTTTGCAAAGAACCAATGCCAACAATAAATGCTGTTTATAATATTGATTCAATAAATTCCCATAGATCACTCAACAGATTCCAAAGGTGGCAGGACACTGGTGTACCAGAAAATGCACAGAATTGTCTACAATGTTCAAAAGGCTGGATATGGATTTGGAGAGAATGAGAGAGATCAAAAGGGAGTCTGAGAAGGAGAAAATTGGCATGAAAAGCCTGAAAGAGCCTCCATCTCCTCCTTTTTTCCCCAAGTCACTTCCAATGTATACCACCTACAGGCAGACTTGATGTTATCTCCCCAATGCTATAAGACCTTTTCTCTGTGTGTCACCCTACTCTTTTTGGCCTATAGGTGCAGTCCCCCAAAGGCTGTATCACCTATAGAGTAGTGAACATGAAGCCCCCAGAGTTGTATAGTGCCCAGCCCACATGGCCGTGTGGCATCCCTGCCTTTCCCCATTTTTCTCACTATGTAAGCTGCACCAAACTTCAAAGCTCATGTCCCATTCCAGCTCCCTGATGTGAAAGAAACTTTCTTCAATTTCGCTTACCTAAATGTCTCATCTTTTCAAAAAATGGTTTTGGCTCATGAGTTTACAATGCAAGTCTACTGGAAAGACATTTTGGAGGCCAAGAATACATACAAAAGTCCTGGAATCCAACCACCCTTGAACATCCTCAGAATGCAAGTGATGTAATAAGAAAGACATTGGACTGAGAGACAGGGAATTTGGATCTAAAGCAACTCTAAATTGCCATGTGACCACAGGCAAGTCACATAAACTGTGTGTCGGTTTCACATTTGTAATATAAAGGAGGTAAGGTAGATAAGACACCTCAAAGGCGCCTAACAATTCCAATATTTTGTAGAATCCTGGAATACCATCTCCAGATTAAGGACAATTGAGTCACTTAGAGCCACCACATAAAGGGAGAACAATAAGTGGCCTTTGGGGATCTGGGAGACAACTCACCAAATGTTCCATATGTGTCAATGTATGTCAAGCCAGATGACACGTATGAGGGTAACTTACCTCACAAAGCATATTCCTGCCTCTCCTTCCAGCACCAGCCCTTCAGATAGATTTTTTTTTCTTATCTCTAGTCTAGGAAACCTAGCAAATAGCTGTCATATTTTCACCAGCCCACCCACATTTGCTAACTTCAACTGCCTCCCAATCTCAGCTACAACACCCACCCCCCAATCTACAACAATGCTAATAGAGTACAAGCATCCACTACAACAACTTATATCTACAGCTCTAAATATAGGAACACTCTCATTTTAAACAAATCTAAAATGTAAAATTTGTGTTTACATGGGTGTGCATATATATGGGACAGATTATTTGCTTTGCAAATGAATTCATCATGGAATTCCTTAAAATACCAGGTCCTTCATTTCTCTTTCTCTTCACCACCTCCCCCTCAAATAATGTCTTACACTTTTTACTTATTTATAGCTCCTCAAGAATACATCTGTTGTGTAAAGTAGGTATCTTGTATTCATAAAGATTAATCGAAAGCAAAATGCATTGCTTTGGAGCCAGAAATTCTGGCTAATTTCTTTGATGTCTCAGGTGTGAAGTTTATATTTTGCATAGGTAGGACCTGAAACTATATCTAGCAACACTACGAACATAAAAGCCACATGAATCTTAAATATCTTCCGGAGTCCACCATGATGTAACAGCTTTCTACAGAAATTAGAGTCTGTAAGAGCCCCTGGCTTCACAAGATCTACTATGGCTAAGAGAAGTGAGCTCATGATGTTGCTTTGTGAAGGTTTCTAAGGCAACAGTTGTACCTTTCACTCAGACCAATAGCTGTCAGCCGGGGGCAGCTTAAAAAGTTGGAGTACTTCTGCCTCCTTACGTAATAAATGTTAATAGACAAAATACTAACTACATTTCTGGGAGTGGTGAAGCTATTTTTAGTAATGGTGGCTCTCTGGAAAATTTCATCTTTTGCTGTGAAATGCAAATGTGATTTTTCTCAGTCTGCAAATGGTAAGCTCAATGTTTGTTTGTTTTCTTAAACTTGAGTTTTGTGTGTTTTATGTTTCTTTTTACCCCAGGGGTTTCCTTATCTGTAGGCACACACAGATGAGAATAGGAACAGAGTGGCCCACCCTAGTTTAGGATAGGTTGCAAATTACATTCTTTGAGGCTAACAGCACAAGTAAGTCAACAAAGGTTTTATTTCATCCAACTGTTGGTATTCCCTTAGAGGTTCATACAAGCTAAGAACCTAACAAAAACAAAACAAAAAATAGCAACTCTCCCACTCTTAAGTTATCCTCTTCTCAAAAAAAAAAAAATTATTTTTCCCCTACTTCCAGAAATACAATTGTTCAGGGCTTAGAAACTCAGAAGAACCCAACTATCTCCTGGATCCCTAAAAACATAGACTTAATGGGAAGAACCCGGCTCATGATGGGAGTGGGCAAAGGAAAGAGCACTGGACCATGAATCAGGAGACCTGAGATGGGATCTGAACAAACCATTTAACCCTTCTGGCCTCAGTTTCTTCATTTATAAAATACAGATAATGATACCTACACTTTTATTGTGATCATATGAGATTATAAACTTGAAAATGCTTGGGAAACTATTAGGTTCCTCACAATGCAATGTTCTGCTTATTTGTGTACATCTCACTCCTATGACACTGTAGAAAATTGAGGCTGAATGTTTCCAAAAAATGAGAAAAGACTTGGCAGTAAGGCTGGTTTCAACAAAGCCTTCTTTCTCTATCCCTCCCTCCCTCTCTCTTTCCCAATACCTCTCTATCTTTCTTTTACTCTACCTTCTGGAAAAACACAAAAGTAACAATTGACCTTAACTCTCTAGTCTAATAATCATTACTTTTCTACATTTTTCAACTACAGTCAATATTGAAATTAGATAACTGATTACTTACTAAATACAGGAACCTGTATTAAATTATTATCAAAATCATATCATTAAGAAATTCTCTGCTTCTAGAGAAGCTTAAAGTTTGAATCAGCACCTTTTTGTTTATCACTCATCCAACAAATATTTAGGTAGTGCAAACTTGTGGCAGGCACTAGGGATTTAGAAATGCACAAGGAAGACCTATCTCTTTTCCCCTGAAGTTCACAATCCAGAGATGGGGATAGATTTATAGTCTCTTATTTTATAGCTTAGGAACTAGAGACACAATAGTTGAGAAAGTTTGACTCTACCTGCAACTCCCCTTCCATTATACTGAGTAGCTGGATGAGGTCTTCTTTGGATAACTCCAGGGATTTCTTAGTCTTTCGTTCACTGTCTCCAGATGTTTTTAGGTGTCGTTTGACAGTTCCTGAGGCCATGACATCATCCTCCTTCCTGTTTGATTTGTTCTTCTTTTTTGCATCTTCTGAGAGACTTTTATCACCAGCATTGCTGATGATGGAGGACTTGGGGCAGGAGATATGCCCATTAGCTGAACTTTCGCCACCTTGATTTCGGGATCTCATTCCCACCTACAACACATGAAAAAAGATAAGATGTTATTTACTGCCACTGAAATCATCTTTGTCTACATACTTAGAAACTTACAGCAGCTTTCCAATATAAAGAAAAACCAAATGAATACATCATTGAAGTCCTCAGGAAATCTTTCTGATTGTCTTCAGAAAAAAAATAACAACATGATTTTAACCTGACAAACACCTCAAGTCAAGTGACGAAGACCAATATCAACATTGCTCAGTCATGTTGATGGTATGTATCTTTGAGGCAATCCGATGAGAATGGCACTCTACCCTTGTGATCTTTCTCCCCAAAACATTATACCCTAGTCTAATAATGAGATGCCAGACAGATCCCAATTGACAGACATTTTACAAAATTCCTAACCAGTAATCCTTAAAAGTGTCAAGGTCATCAAAAACAAGAAAAATCTCAAAAACAGTCACAGCCAAGAGGAGCCTAAGGGTACATGACCACTAAATGTAATGTGCCATCCTGGATGGAATCACGGGACAAAAGAAAGGACAGTAAAGAAAAACTTAAGAAATCTGAATAAAGCATGGATTTTAGTCAATAATAATGTATCAATATTGGTTCATTAATCATAACAAAGGTACCGTACTAATGTAAGATGTTAATTATAAAGGACACTGGGTGTGGGGCAAATGAGAACCCCTGGTATTATCTTTGCAATAATCATGTGAATCTAAAACTGTTCTAAAATATAAAGTTTATTTATCAGAAAATCCAAACCTCAAACCCTGCCAGGAACCAGTTGGGTGTCACAATGTGCAGAAACATCCACCAAGGGTGGCGGGAGCTTGAATAGAAAGAGGAAAAGGGAAAAGCAAAGGGAAGAAGAGGATGGTATAATTTTTAGTGATATGGAATTCTATTTTTCCATAGCTTATTTTTCAAAATCAAGCCATTTTATGTCAGTCATTTCCATTAATAAGAGCACAAAGAATTGGGAGAAAATAGACCAATTTCAGAATGAAAATTTATTTTGAGGAAAAATAGAGAAAAAAGCCAAAGCAGCAGCTAAGATACTAACTTGTCCCACGGGAAGCACATTTGAGTCATTCCGTGGTAAATGCTTGGTGGATTCTCCTTCAGTCTCTGAGCAAAAGAACTCAACCAACAGGAATGCTACAAACAAACATACTGAACTCAAAGGACTCCAAAAAGAGCTCAAATATCCTGTGGGCTGTAATACAAAATTTGCCTAAATCATTAATATTATAGTTTAGCTCATGGCCCTATTTAAAACCCACAATATTATTAAATAATAGCCCTTTCCCTAAACAGCCAAGCAACAAGATTTTCATTCCACATAAAATACAGGGACTTTGTTATCTGAAAGTAAATCTCCTTTATGAACCTAACCATACTTAAGAAAGTATGGAAATTTTTTTTAAAAAAACATTAGGTTTATAACAAAAAAATTAACACAGTATGATGTTTCCTTTCAGATAGTAAACATTCAATTCTTCAATGAATCTTGAAATCTATATTCATGCTCCTTTTTCGCACTGAACTCTTACAACCAAATGGACCCTTTTATGTGTGTGTGAACTTTCTACAGCACCCTCACTTTGAACAATATAAACCCAAGAAGTGGTCCTTGACACTGGTACCCTGTTTTCTGGTTCATTCAGTGATTAGCTCTCAATTTTAGAGCATCTTTTGTGCTTCCGTGATGAACAAAGAATAGATGTTTCTTTGTAACGGAAGTCAGAGCACTTTAGGGCAGACCTACTGTACACAGCTTATTTGTGGGCAGAATGGGCTGACTTAAGTCCCAAGTTAAAAAAAAAAAAAAAAAAGGAGAGATGACGAATAAAGAGTTTCAAATTTAACTCATGACCTGTTACACATCACAGCTAAGACACATGGGCTTCCCAGATTGAATCATGATTCCCTACCACTCCATACCACATGTGAATTCCTTTTATCTGAAATAATTTTTCTATAAGATCTTAAGGCTCTTTGAGATGATGCATCAAATATTGGTTTGACTTCAATTTAAATCATAAGTTAATAGAGATCCCAGATAATAGTTCCCAAAGCACAGAAGTGAAGGGGTGCTGTTTTAAACTTAATCATGCACAGCCTAAATCTTATACAGTATTTGTATCTGACTACATCATGTATTTGTGCCTTTATTTCCCTTCTACGTCTTTTATAGCCGCAGTCTCTAACCCCTGGGCCATGAACCAGTACTGGTCCGTGGCCTGTTAGGAACCAGGCTGCACAGCAGGAGCGAGTGAAACTTCATCTGTGTTTATAGCCGCTCCCCATCGCTAGCATCACTGCCTGAGCTTTGCCTCCCTACTTTTCCCCACCCCACCCCTGGCCATGGGAAAGTTGTCTTCCATGAAAATGGTCCCCAGTGCCAAAAAGGTTGGGGACTGCTGTTTTATAGGATCCACAGCATTAGAACATTCCTAAGAAAGGACAAATGCAATAACTAACTG